CTGTTCGCTGATTTAATTTGACAAATTGACAGACATCGGCGAAACACTGGAACCGTTCCAAAATAAATACGGCAACCTGTTCCTTCGTCTCCCGATTACCAACAATTTATAGTCCTGCTCGAATAGAGAGATACCAAAACGGGAACAAGCTCGCGAAATAGAACATAAAAGTTCATTAACGCTCGGCAAAGGATGGGGCAATCGAATCAATGCGGTAGGTTAAACGAAATAAAAACGAGACGAGGTCAAGAATCTTCCATCTGGCGGAAAATTGCAGGATCCTCCGCGGAAAGGTAAGCGAGAAATGAAATAAGGGTATCCTCTCGTTGCCGAGAATCGTGTTTCATCTTTCGCGAGGCGACCGTCACGCGGAAGAAGTCGCCAGTCAGCGGACGGTTTGCAGTAATTTATTAAAATCCTCGCTTCTTTACCCGAAAAAGGAGAAAAAAGGAAAATCTAGCAGAAGGACAGAGCAAACGCGAGAACCTGACGGAACACGGTAGAGGGGGTCGTAGGAAGAGAAAGAAGCCTTTTATGCGCAGGCCAGCTGGCTCAGCACGACAAAAATTCTTTCAATTACAGAAAAGCGAATTCTCCTTAACTCCTGGGCATCGATATTCATAGCGAAGCGTGTTACGTAAAAGTTACGGCGGGATTCTGGTCGGGAGGAAGCGCGGAAAAGAGGGAGACAGGATGCGGATCAGGCTGCAGCTCGGTTATAGGCACTCGAGCCGAACTCGTGGACCAAGAAAGGGGATCGAGGGGGTGTTAACGCCAAGGCGGGTGGAAAAGTATAACGGAACGAAGGGATGGAGAAGAAGAATTGGGCAGCAGAGGGCGGCAAGCCAGGCTTGATTGGAAAGGACAGCCTATCCGCAATTTGCGATCCAACAGAGGGGAATAGAGGAGGTGAGAATTCGCTTGTCTTTCATCGGGACTTTCTTTCCCTCTTTTCTTCGTCCCCTTCTTTTTTCCTCTCTTTTCTCTTCGCTTACACGCAACCCCTTTTTGCATTTCAAGGGACGCGCCACCAGAGACGACCTCGTCGATACCCGCGGTCTTATCCAGCCAGATCCTTTGGATTCTTGCTCGTCGCGGAGACGTTTGGATATTAACCGGCAGCCAGGATAAACGACCTCGTGATTCCAATGAAATATCGACAGCGGCGAAAGTTTGTTTAATCAGGGAATGCCGACGTCGCGCACCCCGCGATTGCCAACTCTCCGGTTCAACTTTGGGGACGAAAAGAGGGATTGTAACGTTTCAACCCTTTAACGCGGCACACTCGCCAAGGAAAGCTACAGATGCAGAAAGTATATCGACACTTCATAAAATTGCTGATTATTAACTAATTTTAATTTGTATCTTCTATATACACAACCCTCTTTTGTTATAAAATTTGCCAACGGTATCGTTTGATTATATAAGCTTCCATAAATAAGTGTTTTTGGTGGCTAAGGACTTAATAAGATATCGAATCGAACACGATACGAGGACACGGCTCTACGCAGATTTATCGTTTATCGAATTCTATTTCCTGTCTCCCTGCCGCTTTGAATATCGACTATCGGGCTAATATTAAAACGCAATTGTCGTATTCGCCTGCACCGAGTTTAGCCACAGCGTTCAATCAAAATGGATACAGGTCGGGACATTTTATTTTTCGCGGGTCAGACCAAATGCGTCGTAACCTCGACTCTGGTCTGCCAAAGCGACGATTGTATTATTAATGAATATTTTATTCTTTTCTTTGATTCGTTTGCTTTCTTTTCACGATTGTTCACGGTCAAAAAGTACGACACAGTTACCGATCTTATCAATGGAGAATTTTCTTCTACTCTCTTCGCATATGGAGTTGCCCTGATTATTCTAGCAAAGGATTAAGAGATGAGCACATAAAACTGTTTGTACTTTTTTGTTTCCGATTGCAGAAAGCGAAGTTGTCGTCTTACGCGAATCTAACGTTTCCACTTACGTCATTCGAACCCTCGCGAGCAACCCTCGACTTTGCGGAACCTCTTAAATTATAAACAGTGTCAGCCAACGCTGCGAGACTTCGATCGACACGTAACCGCAGAAACTTCCGAGTGCCTGGTCCTCTGGAACTCCGTTCTAGAATTCAAACTTACGCGGCTATGCTCTTGTCTCCAAGTTTCGCGTCAATCTTCGTGCGAGCATGACCGCATTAATTTCAGAACGACCATGAGGGACCGTGCGGAATCATTTATACGCGTTGAGTGAATCGAAATACACGATACTCCAAAGTTCCGTTACATGTTTGATGCGAAGTAAATCGATCCAATTTTCTGAACAAGGATTAAACGCTGTAAATGCAATTTTGAATTCGGTTAGCAAGTAAGCGATTCGGCAACAAAACGGTCATGAGATAGGAACGGAGTTCCAAGGGGTAATTGAAAATAATTAACTCGAGAAAACAATCGAAGGCATTAGCAAGTTCGAACATCGTCGTGGAAGTTAGAGAGGCTAGCAAGACTGGTCCCTTCCTATGGGACAATGAAGGAGGACAGGAAGTCGTGGTCGAGCTGGCGAGTGGTCAGCAGAACTTGATAGTTTCTCAAAACTCGATCTTCGAATCTCCTCCTCGAATCTCGCATGCTGCCAAAGAACCTCACTCACACACACAGTTGTTGCACCATCATAGGTGCACTCGAGTGTCACCCAGAATGGTAATCGATATTCTAACGAGCCACGTCGATCTCTCTTTGCCTGTACATCGAGTTACATCTATATTTACGTCGCGGCTTTACGCTGATTTTATAAGCAGGTTAACTATCGAACGGATTAAACAAAAAAGCGAAAAAGAACCGGAAAGAAACTAGACCAGTGTGTCGTTAAAATAATCCCAAAAATATCTCCTCGACGCACACTTATGTATACGTGTCAGCCTGACGATAAGCAAATCTCTGTTTACACGTAACCAACAGGCGAGCAGATGTACGTGTCGCACGTGTAATTCACACGCTCGTGTTGGTACACACGTATTTACCTGGTGCGTCACGTGAACTTGATATTCACCGCCACTATCTACATACAAGCGAACGAACCAGTACGTAAACGCGACGTTCGAATAAAAATATCTTTCGTGATTCGATGTGTCAGTCACGATTATTAATATAATTTATTGCGACTGAAAAGGGGGCTGTTATCGATGAAAGAAGCCTTATCGAAGAATCTCCGACACCAACCGAGCGAAACAGAGAAGCGATAAGAAATCGGTATGCAACGATTATTTTTCAAAAAGTTTGTGAATGACTACATTTTCGGGAAGGTAGACTAAAGTACCGAAAAGAAGTGATGATTTATCACGCTCGAACTTCGTGGCTGACGCGGTTGTCAAAGATGTAATCAAGATATTCAACGATTCACGGAAAACCACCACTCTTCGCATTCGATTCGCTGTTTCAGGAAGAATCTACACGCGACATACACAGAAACAGTTGCATCTAACGTATCGAGAAAGAAACACACGTATTTCGGAGCGGTCGGTATGTACGCACGTGTCACGCATACACGCATTCCGAAGGTGGTTTGGCTTTATACCTGGCCGAGCGTGCGACCATATCGTTCCCCCTTTCGAAAAGGAAACCGTCGAAAAGGCCGCTTTAAGGGCCATAAAACATTTGTTTCCCTCCGTGGCGTTCGTCGCTACCCGACCGAGTGCTATATTGCGTTCAGCCGCGAACGCGGGATTTTGAATTGAATTTGAAATCAGGGGGCTCGATTTTATGGTGGCCCGGGTGTCAAACGTCTTGGAAGTATCGCGCTATGACTGCCTCATACAGGGTGTCCCATGATAAAACGAACAAACCGACACATTCTGAACAAGTGACGGTAGCTTCATTGTCGCAATCTAAACCAAAATATTTCCAATACATAAATTATCATGCTGTACCTATTAAGAGTGTCACCAGGTGTCTTCAAAAAACCACAATTATTCTCCCTATTTCTATATATAATTTCAAACTTTCAATACGAGATCTAATTATCAAAAAATGATTCTTTATGATAAAAGTAACTGCGATGGAGATTTAAACGTCACCCCGTACATATCGCGGGAAAACTTTCGAAGATCGAAAACCCTCTGGCGAGGATTGTTATCGGTTTACTCGTTTTCTCCCGGCGTGTATCGCGATATAGAACGATCACGATCGTTCAATTCCACTTTTCCATTTCCGCGGGAGTTTCACGGGAGAAAGAACGGTGGAATGACGCTGATCTAAGCAGTATGTAGTTCTTATCGTTGAAAGATTCTTTTATTCCGAGGAACGAATGAGTCTACTCGGATAAATCTTAGCGCGCATCGTCCGTTTTATCGCGGGTAAGCAGATGTTTGCTTCTAAAATTAGTGCTATTTATGGAGTGATGTCGTCGGTTATTAATAAACCTATCTGTGCGTTCCATATAAATTCGTAGAAAAAAAGAGAACGACGGCGAGTAAACTAAGTTTGACGAAGGGAAATAGTTCACGACACGTCGCGTTTCTAACGATCTCGAGCTCCGGGAAGTATAGAGGCAAGTTTCTCGTTGCTGTCATCTTATGCGCGTTACGATCGAAGTTTATGAGAATGATCCGAATTTCAACAACACGTGTGTTTATTGTAATAATATTTTCATCGATTGTAGCCGTTTGTTGGGGAGAATCGAAAAGTTTCGAGATATCGAATCCGCTGAGCGATGAAGTCACATGAAATGGGTAAAAATATCCAAAGAGAAACGGGAACAAAAGTTGTTCAAATTTTAGGATTATTAACCCGACACGTATGCCTTCCTCGGTACTAGGATGATTAAATAATAGATTTCCATATGTTCAATAAAAATTATGTAACTAGTATAAAATTTAATACCAAAATTTATTTGAAAGCTCGCACCATCACGTTTTAGAGGTTATGTTAATTTCGAGAAAAGACGCGGCGCGCAATGGAGAAAGGCGAAACATGGTTATCTTATCGCGAGCGAATTTTCAGAGATTAATTCCTTACCTGGTCGTTGTCTTGTTGATCTTGGCCGTACGAGGGGGTGTCACCATTCGGGGTAGTGGCGGCGGAGGGTCGCTGTGACGTTGACAAGTTGATCGCGCCGTCTCCGTCTGTGTCATGATCCATTATGCCATCGTCCTGAAATCACGATCATCGTTACGTCAAATCGAAGGCTTCTGGTGCAGTGAACTTCACCGTGAACTCGTACACGTATCGTACACGCGCACACATGCATATGTATCGTACGACATACGTGTACGTTCGTGTCTCGGAGTTGCGTTAGTCGACGAAATTTTTCGTGCTTCGTTTCTCCTATCCGGTCGAATGTTTTTCAACGGTCAGGCACGAAAGTTTAGCTTCCCGACAGAGGCTCCGAGGAAGGAAAAGGATCTGGGGGGCTTCTATGAAGGTCTCAAAATGTGCTTTGTTATCCGATATATTACCCTCGGCCCGAGGAACAATTTTAGATCACGTCTGACGCATGTGATTCCATACACACGAGGCAAAGGCAACAATGTCCGGCTAATAATATATTCTACGCTTGCATTTCATAGCGACGACCGATCAACCGGCCAAAATAATCGAGATTTTCCTTTCGCGACAACGAACACTTTATCGATCGCTCCTTCGACATCGTCGATCACTTACTTCACGCGAACTCCTTGGTCCCCGATCTCGGGCTGCCGTCAGTCAGCTTGGAATTCATGGAAGCGTGTTCACGAGCGCGCACAGGAAACGTCCTCTCGAAACGGACCAAATCTTTTCTCACACACCGAGCAATACACTTGGAGCCACGAGAAAAAAAAAGGCTAGCCACTAGCGAGATATCGCACTTCACGAAAGAGCAATCACCAAACCGGAAGTACGCGGATTCTCGATACGTTGCACAACGTTCGCGCGGGTTAAACGGTCCATCGGGGGTTACGCGGATCGGTTCGCGTCACTCGGTTCGTTCAACCTTCGCCCGCTCGCGGGCGGTGCGTTTGCAGGGTGAAAACACGGAGCGGTGGAACGCACGTGGACGCAAAGGTGGCTCCGAAACGTTAAGGTAGAAAAAAAGAAAGAGAAACACCTTTGAACGGAGCGAGCGCGACGAGGCTGGTGAATAAGAGTAGGACGATAAGTTGGAAGAGGAGAAGGAGGAGGAAGAGGAAACGACCACGACGCCGGTAAAGAAGACGAAAATCAACGTTCACGCGGCGACCGAGTAGCGAGGACTAAACACTAAAACCGGCGCAGGCATACCAACCAGCCCAACCGGCGAGGCTGTTGCTTATTGTGTAAATATAAACAAATATAGTTGAAACCAACCAACAGGCCTGCTTTCAGCTCTCTTCCCTCTCCCCTAACGCCGCGTCTTCTACTCTACGTTCCGTGCCCTACCTTCTCTGTCGGCATCTTCCCCTCCCCATTTATCGTTCGTCTCGCCTCCCTAACCCCGTGCCACAACACTTTGCCCCTCTCGCTCCGCTGTAACACCCACCCTTCGTCACGTCGCTGACCCCACCGCCGCCAGGCAAACCAGTACATCATATGTACGAGCCACGTTGTACTGTGGCTTGGCTTGGCCTGGCCTGGCCCGGCCTGTCTTGCTTCGCCTTCTCTTCTTGTCTTCCCATATGCTCGTCTGTGCTCGAACATTACACATCGTCGCACGGCTGTTTGGCAAGCGGCTGTACGCGACGCCTAACTCTCTGACGCTCGGCTCCGTTACGACCGCCCGAGAGAGTCTGTTCTTCCACGTTTCTTTTCATCGGACTCTGCGAAGATAATCTGCGCATTCGTCCCTTCGATCTTTCCACCCGGAAATAGTTCGATCTAACGATGATCGAACGATATCACGTTTAACTTTTTGGAGCACGAGCTTGGGAAAGATGCCGAGGACATTCGGATACGAAGAATAAATACGTTTTTTCGAGAGGCCGCGACGTGACTGTGACTTTCTTAGGTACACTCGAACGATTCGATTCCACGGACTTACTAATAAACTATGAATATTCCGTTCTTTCGTTGACTGGATACACATGAACGCGAGGAGGTACTCGCACACACTGTCGTTCCGTAAATACGTGTGTACACGTGTTGTCTGACGCAACCTGAACCACCGGCTCAAGTTTGTATAGGCGAACCGGAAATGGGGGACGAAATATTCTTCGAAACGGCATGTCCTTAAATATATTCCTTTCACTCGTGTTTCGAACACACGACGATGGAACGCCCCGCGGGGCGACGCTTTTAAAAATGGCATTTTTTATTTTTCTGGCACATCATGAATTAGTCGCCGTTTTATGCTGCGCGTGTCATCTCCAGAAACCTCGAAGTATCAAAAGTCATGTTTAATTTATGCAACTACCCCTTCCAAGAGAGCATGGTATCCGAAAGGGGATGACGAGGTATTCCACGAGCGACTTTATTAAGCTTACGATACTAGTCCTATCGGAACTATTCCGAGGCAAATCCACGGCTTTGGCCGTTCCATTGTAGGACTGCTAGGTGTATCCTCGTGACCCAACGGTGGTTCAATGAGGGGAGCCACGGACCCATCGCCCAGTCCTATGACAACAAAACTGGGGGCAAAAATAGGCGCAGCCGGTCGGCCAGGCTTGTATACGTGGCGTATACTAAATATGTATTTATTAAGTAAACAACCGTTGCGCTGGGGTTCTAAGGTACATACGTCTCGTTTCCTATTTCATTGTGAGTAATGCGTTCTCGTGAACCCGATGGTGTTTGGTTACTACATGCTGCAAGAGCGTAGAACCCCCTTTTGCTGCCTTCTCTTCTTGTCTTCCCATATGCTCGTCTGTGCTCGAACATTACACATCGTCGCACGGCTGTTTGGCAAGCGGCTGTACGCGACGCCTAACTCTCTGACGCTCGGCTCCGTTACGACCGCCCGAGAGAGTCTGTTCTTCCACGTTTCTTTTCATCGGACTCTGCGAAGATAATCTGCGCATTCGTCCCTTCGATCTTTCCACCCGGAAATAGTTCGATCTAACGATGATCGAACGATATCACGTTTAACTTTTTGGAGCACGAGCTTGGGAAAGATGCCGAGGACATTCGGATACGAAGAATAAATACGTTTTTTCGAGAGGCCGCGACGTGACTGTGACTTTCTTAGGTACACTCGAACGATTCGATTCCACGGACTTACTAATAAACTATGAATATTCCGTTCTTTCGTTGACTGGATACACATGAACGCGAGGAGGTACTCGCACACACTGTCGTTCCGTAAATACGTGTGTACACGTGTTGTCTGACGCAACCTGAACCACCGGCTCAAGTTTGTATAGGCGAACCGGAAATGGGGGACGAAATATTCTTCGAAACGGCATGTCCTTAAATATATTCCTTTCACTCGTGTTTCGAACACACGACGATGGAACGCCCCGCGGGGCGACGCTTTTAAAAATGGCATTTTTTATTTTTCTGGCACATCATGAATTAGTCGCCGTTTTATGCTGCGCGTGTCATCTCCAGAAACCTCGAAGTATCAAAAGTCATGTTTAATTTATGCAACTACCCCTTCCAAGAGAGCATGGTATCCGAAAGGGGATGACGAGGTATTCCACGAGCGACTTTATTAAGCTTACGATACTAGTCCTATCGGAACTATTCCGAGGCAAATCCACGGCTTTGGCCGTTCCATTGTAGGACTGCTAGGTGTATCCTCGTGACCCAACGGTGGTTCAATGAGGGGAGCCACGGACCCATCGCCCAGTCCTATGACAACAAAACTGGGGGCAAAAATAGGCGCAGCCGGTCGGCCAGGCTTGTATACGTGGCGTATACTAAATATGTATTTATTAAGTAAACAACCGTTGCGCTGGGGTTCTAAGGTACATACGTCTCGTTTCCTATTTCATTGTGAGTAATGCGTTCTCGTGAACCCGATGGTGTTTGGTTACTACATGCTGCAAGAGCGTAGAACCCCCTTTTGCTTGTGCCTCACAAAAAAGAGAGGAGTCGAGATCGTTCTTGCATTCCAATATACACGAGAATCAGAGATTAATCCTTTCGATAGCGAAAGTGATCGTAGTCGTCGAAGGTTGAAATTTTGACTCGGTCGATAACGGTGGTCGAGGATAGCAAGTAGCGCCGTAGCCAGATGATCGAACATCATAAAATTAAAATCAAGGTTGACATATTCTGACACGATGACAGCGCGACCGGTGTCCTTTGAGCAATTAACGAGATACAGGATAATCCGACCGACGCGAAAGGGGTTAAAAATTAAAACCAAGGTCCAGGTCACCGGTGCAAACGCAACAAGGGTTAAGAACGCAGCTCGAGCGAAACCTGTACACGGTCCATAGGAACGCGATCGTTGGACGGTCGGGTGGTACGATCGAGCAAACCGACCGTAAAGAAGGATAATCGCCGGCAGTCGAAGTAAGAAGAGATAACGAGATCGTATATCCCCATCAAAAAGGAGAGAAGGACAAGGTAAACGCTCGTCTTCTCGTGGTTGCGTGTGCGTGTGTGCTCGGTCGAGCTATGACCATCACCCTTTTTATGAGGGCGCCCTCGCACGAACACGAGCACGCGCGTGGCTCCGTACTCCCCTTCTAAATAATAAACGAGAGGATTTACCCCCGTCAGGTTCGCGCGACGGTACATAAAAATACTCGAATCTGAGAAATTAGCGGCGGGACTAACGGGACGTCGTTCGTCGCAGGAGTCAGAGGCAGGACGAACAAGAAGAAGAAGGAGGGAGGTACACGGAAAAAGAGAGGCTCACGATGGGAAGGGGTCAGCGAGAACGGAGGCGTTTTCGGTCTCGGTGCAGAGTGGAGACCAGGAAAAAAGGGTACGTAAAAGGGTTGAATTAATGTCGCGATAAATATATGATTTAAGGTGGAAACGTTTGCAACTCCGGCTAATTTTTTATCTGAGACCGCGGCGTTCCTCGTCGAGAGGGGTTTTTTACCCTAGGAAAGAGAGACCGACGATCTCTCGAAGCGAGCACACTTGGACGTCCAAGGGGATTGAAGCTCGACCGCGGGGAAAAGGAAGCACGGCTGGGAAGGAGAAAAGCGGCGGG